AATCAAACCCATAGTGAGAGATAGTTAATCAGCTACTCCTCCTGATGTAAAGATGTGAACTGCTTGAAATGCTCCCTTACATTTCTAAACATTTTGAAAGGGTAGTGTTCCCTAAACAGGTAAGTATCAAGTAGTGGAGATTGGTGGTCATTGAATAAGTTCTTAATTGTTTAACCCTGCACATACAGGAGGGTCAAAATGCATGTCACGATCTTTTTTACAGAATTGCATTAAAAATTTAATGCAACTACTTTATTAACAAAATATTTTGATAAGCTTGGAATCAAAATGTTTATATTATCTGAGTTTTAGTTTTTAATTTCAAAAGGAAATATTTTGATAAATTTCAGTCTTTCTTTGTGCCACATGATGCATCTGTGCTCCGAATTGCCCATTTTAGATTTTACTTCTTCCATTATATGGCTTTCTGAGTGTCCAACTAATTTAAAACACATACTATATATATATTTACAAGCTAGAATATAAATTTAGAAGCTTCAATCTCCTTGCTTTACTGAGATAAAAAAAAATGTCAAGCCCACCTATGTCATTCTGTCTTTCAAACAGTGTCATTAATTCTGTCTGGAATTGCCATTATACATCATTTCATTTTGCTACCTGTAGATATACATTTAGACTGTTTCATTTTTTTATGATCATGTTTTTATGCTCTGAGCAGCTAACACAATCTTTTAACCTATTTATAGCATAGCTATAAAGCCAGTTGAATTTTAGTAGTTTTAGGACATTCTATTCCAGTGTATGATGTATGTTCTGTGTTCTAAAATGCATATTTAAAAAGAACATAAATGATTTTGGGGAGAACCAACATAGTTTGAAAAAACTAGTGCTGAGGAACTACAATCTTAATTATAAGTTTCTGAAATAGGTTCCAATTTTAACGTATGTTCAAAATTCTTTGTTTTTCATGTACATTTTTAATCTATTATTATATATTTTTAAAAAAAGTAACTCAAATGTAGAATCAGAGACTTGTTATGTTTGATAACAAAAAGTAAATGAAAAAACAAAATTAAATAAAACAATTACACAAGACTAGCTTGAGCTAACTCCTTCACATGATTGTAACTAGATTGTTTTTTTTCTTTACACTAAATTTTCCCTTTGTGGTTAATTGCCTCTCAAATACTTAGATATGGGCTAAAGGATATTGTAAAATAGTAAAATGAAAGCATTCAGACGTGAAAAAGCTAGAAACCTGAGGTTGTTTTGATAAATAATTGTAATTGTCTATTACAATCTCAAGTCATTCTAGTAAAAAAAAAAAATATTACTGATTTTATTGTTTGATGATTTCACTACAGTTAATAATATTAGGATAGAGAAAATAAGAAACATAATATAAAGTTTTACCAACAAAAAATCTTTTTATATTCATTTAGGAAATTCTAGAGATGATGCAAATGAAACTGTAAGATGAAAACAAGCATTTTTATTCTTAGCATGAAAATTACCTTTCACTCAAATTGACTCACTAAAAGATTCATAAATTCACAGTAAAAACACTTTATTAAAAAAATCTATTTTTTGTGTATAACAGACCTGTAATGTTTACTATAAGCTTATAAAATTTTGTGAAGATCACTTGGTACATTCAGAGCTATAGTATCTGTAGTTTCATGTTTACATTATGGTTACAAGGTCAGTGAAAATGACTAAGCTCATATTTGGAAAGTGAATCACTTCAGCAGGCTTGAAGTGTTGGCTAAAAGTGTTAACAACTGTTAATAGCAGAAAGTGAAGCCACTTCCAAACCAATGATTCAGTTACTTGAGCACCTGGACAATCGTCTACACACAAGTAGATGACCTCTCTCTCTGTTGATTATCACTCATCACATACATAGGTTATTTACTCCAAGGTTTAATGAGCTGCAGTTAGACACCATGTCAACATACACATGGTTAGAAATAGATTTCACTAAAATGGCTTTTCATCAGGTGCACAGTGAGATATCTCCTCTCACAACAAAGTACATGTGCTGCCAGCTAGCAGGCACATTTTTGTTTTGTGAGAATGGAGTTCCATTTTCATGCAGGAAGACTGATGGATATGTCAATCTCTAAATCTCATAGAATGGTTCCATTAATACCCCACATTGCAGGAACTACATTTTAAAACTCTCTATACTGCCAAATTGGTACATTTTGCCTCAACTTAGTGGATGTTGATGCCTATCCCTGTCCTGTTAAGCTGGTTGACACATTATTTGAAGAAGAAAGGATGTTTTGAGAGTATAACCTCTCACTAAGTGACTCCACTAAATAATGATGTCTTAGAAATTGCACTTTCAGAGGAATTGTCTACTATACTTCAATATCTTATCAGCACTGTTTTATAGTGACCATAAAATCTCATGAACTGTAAATATGTAAAGCCATATCTACTAAACATTCATGAACTTTCAAGAATAGACTGAATCATCAGCAGTTTGAATTTCAGATAAAATGACAAGTCATCAGATATATGAAATCCATAAAAATAAACTGAAGAGGCTGATTATTAGTTAGACATGGTTCAAAAACTAATAAAACAATAAAATTAAATAGAAACAGATATAAACTGTTATAAATCTCGAAGAAAAGTATTTTCAATCTTAACCCTTCTGCTGTAGGCAGGTCAAAGAGTGCATGTCATAACATTTTAGAGATTTATTTTTAAAATTTTATTAAATTACCATACTATTACTAATATCAATGGAATTGACATCAAAACATAGTTTATAATTCAAATTTTAATATTGTATATGTTTTAATTTCTTTATTTATAAGGAAATATAAAGAAATAAATGCTAAATATCAATTTTTGTGTGTCACATTACACCTACAACACAACTGATGCAATGATTAATGAATTAGAAACTCAACTTGGAGATATTGACAAGTTATGATGAAAAATATGAACGTCTTACCTCTGATTTGCCGTGATATCAATATATTTAGCCAATTTAGTAGTTTGGCTCCTCCCACTACTCCATTCTTTAAAAATCTCTTGTCTAATCCCACCTACTTTTTTTTTTCCTAAGACTTTATAACCATTGAAACTAGCAGTTTCTTGTAGACATAAATCTTATAGCCATTTGTAAGTAGATTGAAGGAGAAAATCATAATTTTTGCCAAAGCTGTTGAAGTTGTTACTATGAAGAGAAATGGGATTTTTTAAACCTATATATAGCTTGTTTAGCAACCCAAGTAAATTACAGGGATTATGTCTACAATAATATAAGTTGATAATTTGTTAGTTTCTAATATGTATATTTTAAGCATACAAAAACATATCGCTCTTCACCTTCCACTCGAATAAATAAACAAGGCTTAGCTCGTTCGACACTCGAGCACAAAGTCTCATAACCATCATAAGTACTCAAAATTTTTGTTTTTGACACATCTTTTATTTATTCTTCTACATATTAAGAAAAATAACTAAAATTTAATCACTTGTGAATAAATACTAACAATATGTATATATACACGCGTAGTGTATGGTAGCCAAAATTTCACTATATTTTGCAAAATACTAAAATACTGGTATTATAGATAGTGATTTGTATTTTGTACACCTATATAGGTATCTACTGAAATTGTATTAATCTTCTAATTGTTTAAATTGAGATAAAATTAAAGCAAATTATGCAAAATTAGAAGCTTGACAACTTAAAAAAGAGGTTTATTCATAACATTTTAAAAAGATACAGTTCTTTACAAATGTCTGTACACCTAAACAGTATACTTCTAAGTTCCTAACATCCAAGAAAGATTACCAATATTCAAAGAATTGCGATGTTTATTGTATCAGATCTGATTCATGTAATAAACATTTTGACAGATTCAAAGTGCTGTCTTATTACTCTGGAGAATTCTTGTTTTAAACACTGTAGGATACACACATAAGGCAATAAATTCTACATCCTGTTGTTGGCATAAACATTTTCACTGATTCTAAGTGCATCATCATTACTCTGGTGAATTGTCCTTGTAAACAGTGTAAGATATATATAATCTCATACATTACACATTCTGTTCTTGGAGCAGGGGTCAAATTGGCTATCTCTATGTGCATGCTTTGATGCTTTTGAGGGTATCATATTGTGGTGTCATGCGAAAGGTATAATGATACAAGTGGTGATTTGCTGCTTTATTTTCACCAGTTTTCTACTTCAGTCATTGACAGTAAAATAAATACAGAAAATAAATGTGAAATGTTTTGTAGTTGAAATACTCAAGAGAAGTATAACATGAATTTTGTGAATAATAATCAAGAAAAAATGACACAGCTACTTATTTTATTTCTGATCTGATTTTACAACTTTTCATTATATTTTGTTGTTTTACAACAAAAAAGTTTTATATTTACTTAGGAGGTTTTAGCTATTACGTATGCAATCTTAACATAAAAATCACTTTGCTCTTGAACTAGTCAAAAAAAAGATTTGATTTATTCACAGATAAATTGTTAGTAAAAAACTAATTTTTTGTGTACAAGCAATTTGTAATGTTTACTAAAAGCCTGCCACATTTTGTGAAGATACACATACTTTATTAAAAGTTATAGTATTAAAACTATATGCAAGTAAAAATGGTCACGTGATCGGCCCCTGTGACCGAGCCCATATTGAAAGAGTTAACATGAAAATTACTTTGCACTCAGAACAGGCAACATTCTGACTCCATATATTCACAAATAAATATTTAGTAAAAAATACTTAATTAAAAAATCTGATTTTTTTGTGTGCAAAAGACTTTTAATGTTTACTGAAAGCTTGCTGAATTCTCTGAAGATACACAAAACATAGTAAAAGTTATAGTATGTAAACTGATTATTATTTTATGGCTTCAATTTCAGCCACTTTGATGGTCCTTATATGGAAAGAGTTAAATTGTTAACCTGTACAATCTAGACAGTGATTAGTTTAAAATAATATTTTAATACTAGTATTAAATGTATACATTGTTAAATATAATGTAAAACATATTTTTCAGTGCAAACATGATTTCTGTTGGGTGTGCCTGGAGTCATGGAAGAGGCATAGCTCTGCTACAGGAGGTTACTTCCGCTGTAATCGCTATGATGCAGTTCATAAGGCAGAAGAGAGGACTGGAATGTTAATTTGTGAAGTGAGTTATCTTTAGATCCAGAAATTAAAAAAAAAGAGTCCATCTTGTTTAAAACCATTGAATTTGATACTCACAGGTTGACTCTGTATATACTATGAAAAGGTTTACAAACAGATGTTATTCATAAAAATGGTAAAGGTATCCCCATTATCTCAATAACTTCTGATTAAAGCAACCAACCTACATAGATCAGAACTAAGAATTAGTAGATAATGTTGTTAACCTAATATATTGTCTAACTACAAAGCTGGGAATATTTTTGTAATTTCTTTAGATGTTCATTTCATCCCTGAAAGTGTCGTGCATGTTAAATTATATGCTTGAAAACTACAGAAATTTTCTTCAATGAAAAGACATCAGATAAGCTTAGCTAGGTTTAGTGAGTAAGGTAGGTAATGGCAAAATATCCTGATGACTCAAATCTTTATTTGTTAAATACTAGCTGATGTTTCTGTTGATTTTATGGGGAAAACACAGGCAATCAGATGCAAATGCCAATCCACCATGGTCCCTGAGAGTACATGCCAAATTTAGTGATAACTGATCTAGCAGTTTTGCCAGTTATGAGTGAACACACAAACACATTTTTGTTGGATAACAGTTTAGGTTATTTTTTATATTTATTATATTAAAAAAACTTACATAGGCTAACTTATTACTTCATCATTTCTCGTTATGATATGTTTTAAATAAAATAACTGTTATCATTATAAGTGATAGTGAAATGTATTTTCATTATTTTATTATTGAATTATTTGATATACATGAGTTCAGTGAGAGATTACTGCATATTTTGAAAACAAACAAAATAGTAACCATATAGTCCTTAATATTAGCAATTTTCCAAGTAGGAAATGTTTAGATTATCTTTAACAAAAATTCTCATCAAAAGTTTCTGCCAAAACAATTGCAGAAACATTGCTTACAACACATTAAAAGTACAGCATCTGATTCTCTATCTCTGTGTTACACTAACAGTTAAAATTCCTTAGGACATTGGTTTAGTTGAGCTTCTGATCATAAGTAAACTATTTATATATAAATCAGAACTAAAAAGTAACATTTAAAATAATGGGCCTAATTCAGTGTAACAAACTGACTAAAGTAAGTAATAAATGTTTGGAGATGCTTGAATAGATAATGAAGAAAATTTTATTATAAATGTACTACATTTCTAAAAGTGCGTTCCTCGTCATCAAAATTAAAGTATGTAATGTCTTGATCAATATCCAAGAAAAACTTAAGCTTAAAAACTTATGTGACAGGTGGGTGTGGCAAGAGGGGTTTGATTTTCTATTCAGTAGCTCTGTAACCAAATTGAAGACAATAAAAATTGTAGTTTGTTTGAGCAATAACAATTTTATAGAGTGTATTTTACATTGAATTTCATACTTTTTCGAGGAGTGGTGGATAAAATAGGGATGATGACATGCTAAGAGAAAATGTCACATGAGTCACACTAGTGAAAATTAAGGATTTTTTTTAATATTGCCTTATAGAATTATAAACGTAAGACTTATATACTATTAAAATATGGATTATTAGCTGAGATTTTATGTTATTCTAATTGGTATGACAGAAATAAAACATGAATTAATAAAATTTTGAATTTAAGACACTAAAACCATATATCATGCACAGTGAAGGGTACCCAGAGTGATAGGGTTAATAAGATAATGAGAAAGAATTTTAATTTAACTTTTGCACATGAGCAAAATGTTTACAAGCTTCAGTTCACACCTGTTTTCGTAAGAAATATGGCCAAAGTGACTGGACTCAGCAATTCTCCTTTACTACATACCTTTCAAATCCTTCAGTGCAAATCCAGTGGAGTTTTATGCCTTTGGTCTGCTCAAGTATGAGCTGAGAAGTCATAACCCTAAAATATTAGCTTGTTTATGAAAAGATGGATGGGCAGAGAAACCTGATTGTATGGAAACATAACTGCAGAAACAATTTTAAGAAGAAAAGGAAGCAGATAGAGCATGATCATTGAAGAAAATAGTCTTCTGTCGTATTTACAAATAGCGTAAATGAATTAAACTTCCATATTATATGCAAAAAAAAAGTTCACAAAATTTTCACAATAAATAATTATATTGGGAGAGTGCTGGTACCAACCCAATATCTAATTTTGCAATTTTTATTTTCCTGTATAAAATTGAATTAATTTTATTTGTTAGATAAAGTTCAACTCTGAAAGATTAACATATGGATAAATGACAGTTTATTTTTATGATTTTATTTAACTCAGGTGTGTAATTTTGCCCTCAAGACAGACTGCACCCAATTAGGCATGAGAAAGTTAATTGCTATATAAAAGTCAGTAGTATGTTGAGATTCTAATAGAAGAAAGATAGATAACATTTTAACTTTATGATGTCAATGCAAAATGAATGGTTCTTATAAAGCTCTGAAGTAGTACAAAAATTAGCATATGATGATATTAAACTAATATTTACTGCATGCATTGAAATATTAAGATATACTAGTTGTAGTAACTAGCAATGTATTTTATGAAATTTGTATTTCTGGAGAAATTCACCACAAACCATGATTTTATAATCATTACTCAAAAAAAAGTATTTCATCGAAATGCAGGTTTACTGGAAAAATTGTAGCTTACATTGTTCAAAAATCTTCACAGCCTCTAAAGCACATGGGACCTGTTTTGGTTTTTTGGTTTCAGAGCATGAACATTTTATTTCAGATTGTTTTCTCAACAGCAACCCTAAAATGCTTTGCAGTTAGAGGGTCAGTATCAACATCATTTAAGTCTTAATGTTTACATTTTGCTTGGCTTGTTAAAAACTAATGTATAAACATCATCAGGTTTGTCAACAGAATTTTCCCTTAGTTTAAAATAACATAAGATAATCTTCGATAGATTGTTTAGGCAGATTATGGACATTATGAAGATTTTGCCTGTGAAACTGGAAAATTTTTTGATGCATAAAAGTATTTTCAATCTTAAAATGATTTGCATGTTAGATAGGCAACATGTGAAATGAAAAAAAAGACATGAGAAAAACAGTGGTTTACAAATCTTAAGACTTAATACAAAATTTGATATTTTGTGTATGAAAGCATTGTAATGTTTACTGATAATCTGTCAAATTTCGTTAAAAAATAACAGATAAAATATAAAGTTTTTTCTTAAGAAACGTTTGATAACTATCCCAGTAAAGAACCTCTGTATGGTTTTGGTAGATTTGACCAATCTTGTAACCACCATAAAAAATTAGGAAATAAATATAAATTATGCCTCTTTCATTCTAGAATGACAACAAATTATAACACAAAAACACAAATGTTTAGACTAAATAGCTTAAATCCCATAACTTTATAAATTTATATATATTTATTATTTTTACTGACCTCTCAGCCGTGTCTTGCTAACAATATAGAAGTTACAATGACAAGGCACACATACACTCCTGTTACAATATCCAATATTATAAAACTGACCTTTAGTCTTTACAAAGTGACCTGTCTTGGTTGTGTTTTAGTAGACTAGTATTGTGTAAAATACAGTCACATTTCAATTATTATACATTATATATGTATATAGATTATTGCTACTTAAAAATAAGTTTTAAACTTATTTTTCTTAAAACATGGAACATTAAATAAAGAAGTAAAGCAAACAATTAGCTCTTCTAGTTATGTTCTTTGTACTCAGTTGCTGCTTGACGTAGGTTGCTAAGCCTTTTAAAAGTTTATACGAGGAGGATATGAAATGAAATAATGTTTTTTAGGTTTTATATGTACAGCTGAATAACCAAAAACTCATAAATTACTACATCAATACCATAGAATTCCAATAGTATTTATCAAGCCTAGGAACTAAGCTGTATTTGGGTCT